CGGCCTCTGAGGCAGCGGCTCGCTTTGCCGCTAGGCGAGGAGGAGGAGGAGCCGGAGGCTGGACCGCTGCCGCCGCCGCCGCCTCTGCTGCGCTGCTCCTGCTAGACTCTTGCAAGCAAGGAACAAAGGCGCTAAAGCTGCGGCCACTGCGCGAGAGTCGCGTCCTCGTGGACCTCCAGGCGGCGCCTCCTGGCGGGGAGCGAGAGGAACAAGGCGGCTATTGCCACGCCGGGGCTTCTGTGCCCGGGGGGGGGGCGACGACCACCACTGGGTGTCCCCCCCCATACCCCACCCATGCCAGGAGCCAAACGCTCCCTGCGCATGCGTGTCTTCCTAGCGACCGGGGCTGCTTAAAGGGACAGAGATTCCTCCATAATCCAGCCTCGCCGCTGCTGGAGCCAGGCGAGGGAAGGACCCCCGGAGGCGGAGGGGGGTGGTCGGGTCAGGACCGTGTATCTGTGGCTTAGCTGGCTCGCTTGCAAGCCTGAGGATAAGAAACGGATCATCTCCCTGGAGACGGTTTCTGGGACCACAACTTTGAGACTGATCGTTGTCACTAAGTGGAAGGAAAGGCACTCTGTACATGCTCAAAGCCACCCCTCTTTCATGTTTTATTTCTCGTGCTCTGGACCTGAACTCTGCCAGTTTCTGGACTGAGCTCACCTTTAATCCTGGCTGGAAGAAAATGTTTGTGAGGGAACAGAAATGAAAATTGTTTGGTTTGCATTAGTTTCAGTAACAGAGCCAAACCATAGGACCAAGGGTACACTTTTCAAACAGAGCAGGCCTGCTTCTGGTCACTCCCTGGATAGGAGAAACGTGTCGTGCTGCTGAACATGACAACAACTCTGTGTGAGGACTATGTGTATGGTGGACAGCAAAATAATCAGCACTAAATGTGGATAATGCATCATCCAGTGTCTGACAACCTTATGGGTGGATTTCTGTCCCTGTTTTGCAGTTACCTCTTGAAGACTAGGTTGACAAATCCTTCCCAAAATTTATTTATATTCCAACTTTCTTCCTGTGCACAACCTGAAGATGCTCACAACATGACTTAAAACAGGTACAGCTTTAAAAAAAAGAAGGAAGGTATAATACTGAAACACAGTTAAATAAAAAAACATGACTTAAAGCAAAACACAACCATTAAAAGGCTCTTGCTTAGCAACCTGTAAAGCTAAAAGCATACTATATTGGCAGGCTAACTAACAGTTCTGTGCCTCTCCGCCCAAAGGAAAGCAGGAAGGAGGCCTTCAAGAATCAACCAAGAATCATGTTCCAAAGGAGGATGCAAAATTTAGAGCTGACAGGGCAATGCATCTGTTTTTCAGATTAAGGACAAGGATGGGGAAGTTTTGACCATCCAGATGTTTCTGATTTCAAATCCCAGAAGTCCCAACCAGTATAGATAATTGCAAGGGATTGTGGGAATTGAGGTCTAAAATATCTGGAAAACCAAAGGTTTTCCCCACCCCTAATTTAGTTGTTAATATTCAGAGGAGTGAGTTCCTTCCATATAAAAATGTGGGCTTGGCATGTAAGTTAAAGAGAGATGAAGATGTTTTACAACATGTGTTTTAATTTTCATCACAAAAAGCACAGTTAGCTACATCAATATATTTCACTTGTTTTCCTCTTGTAATCTGGCACATCCTGGTTAATTAACTTCTTGAATCTAGAGCATTTGTAATCATTTCCTTCCTGTACACCCGCTGCTTCCTGTCTTTCAATATATATCCTTAATCATAAGGTCAAGTAGAAGGTCAACTGGTTCAAATGCCTCTGGTGACCTAGTGGAGTGGGAGCTCAGCAGGAAGCCACTCCAGGACCATTTCTGGTCCCCAACACAGAGGAGGAACAATGAATAGTCAGTAGAGAGGTGGCCTGGAGCAGTCTCCTTCACTTGAAGAATATAAAAGGCAACTAAAATTTAAATATGGCTTTGGAAATGGTGCTCCACATTCTGTACAGCTTAATACAGCTTAGCATTGTAAAACAGAAATATCTGAAATATGGATTTATTACAGGATGCTAAGAATTTCCTGGATTGAGCAGGTGAATAAAGACCAAGAAATCAAAATATAGAAATGTTATGTCAGTCATGTAGTGATAAAATAACTGTACAGATAGCTGCAGCCGATCATTCAAGATCAGGTAAGTGGTGGGAAAGTGCAGAAAGGAGAAGAAACGAATTGGTTTAATAATGTGACTTGGTTGCAATACAACATCATTAAGAGTTGGCACATCCCTAGTCAAGATAAGGCATGACAGTGTTCAGCCTCTAGTAGAAGAGGAAGGAGAATGACACATAAGGCAATTGATAGATTCCCTTTGCAACTTGCTGTCTTCTTAATGTCCATGTCTGGTGTCAGCTGGATGTGTTGGACTGGATTTCCTATAATCCAATAGTGGTTATGATCTAACACATCTGGAGAACCTCAGATTGGGAAAGGCTGGCACTGATGAAGTCAAAGGAACACAAACAAGCAAAAGCAACAAACCTCTTTTCTCTGGTAGGGTCCCTACTTCACTCTTAAAAATTTAAATAATAACACTTGTTTGAAGATTGTGTGCACGTGTAACTAAAAGCTAAAAGTTACATTTCAACTGCCAAAGGTCTTTTACCAAAGCTAGATGGGTTGCATCTAATGGTGTCTGATTGCAATCAGTGTGGGAAACTGCCAAAGGTCTTTTACCAAAGCTAGATTAGGTTTGGGACCTAACTAACCCTCTTCCCTTGAATCTTTCAGTACATACATCCATTTGCTTCAGAGCGTTGGAAGATTCTTCAGATCAGATTTGCTGGGGACATCAGAGGAACCACAAGAAAGCAGAATCCCATTGCATCTCTGTTTTTCTTCTCTCAAAGGAGGCCACTGTAGGCACTATATTCAGAAAACAGCCACTGAGTACCTATTTCAGATATATTGTGTAATAGAATTACGTTAATGATATATTTTATGATTTAATGCTCTGTTGTAACACAGCCATCACAAATGCGCAAGAGCAGAGTCAGCTGCCTCTGTTCTTATTTCCTTCTCACTCTATGGAGCCACAAGCATCTGAGAGAAGAAGTGCTGTTTTGTTGTTTAATCAATGGCATCTTTTTTAACACGTGAAATCATCCAGACCTTGCAGATGAAAACACACACGCACACCCCACGGACATATGTTAACAATTCCTGTACTCAACACTCAACAAATGTTTCATTGTCACACATTTTAAAAAATAGGTTGTAAGTTCTGTGCTTATAAAAATGACACTAGAGCTCATATCTGTCTGGAATCTGCCTGATACCCCTAAACCCTCGTATGTGGAGACTCTCTGGAGTCCCTGGTGTTGCTAACTGGTTGCTAGACCATATTTGGGTACAATTGACAAGTTACTTCCTTTAAACATTCAAAGCATTATCTGCACACACCTCACTTCAGTGTAATAATGTGTGTCCTGCAAGGGTACTCCATGCATGTAGTCCACAGTAGCTTGTACTATATAGATCAAGTTAACCTTTAAGGTGCTGCTCATGTCTCTTGTTTTGCTGCAACAGACATGGGTCTCACTTCTGGAAATCTGATGCCCCAAACAGGATCAAGTTATCTTTATGTCATACAAAGCATGAGAGTCTGTACAACCTCTCTGAATATTCAAAAAGGCATGAGGAAGACAAGTTGGATTGGACTGACCAGTTGCACCCTTCCCCCCCCCAATGTAGCCATCCTCCACCAGCCATAGATTATTCACCAGAATGCAAAAGCCAGACAAGCATCTAGCAATGTACACACAGGGTTGCATCACTGTGTGATCCTAGTTCTCTAGATTGGCATCTTAGAAGTGTCTGCACTGGCACATCTTGATTAGCACATCCAGCGATGCTGTGCCCACCGTGCACGTTTGGCCTCTTTGGACAGCTTCACCCACTCGCCCATCCAGGGGTCATGACAGTGAACCATCAGCCAGCCAGTTTAGGATTTATCTTCTGTCTCTGCAGTTTCCTCTGCCTCCCTAGCCCTCCAGTTGGCAGTCTGCAAAGTTTCCTCCCAGCGATTCTCCTCCTCATCTTCTTCCTTTTATCCTCCTCAACTGGGGATGGTTCTCTGTCCCCCTAGCCCCACCTTCTGTGGTTGGATCTTGCTGCCTGCTGACTCCTCCACTTCCTCACTGCAGCCCCACTCCATTGGAGAACTGCAGGTCTACTGTTGGGGTTTGTGAGGTCAGCAGCCCACTCCATTGGACCAGCCTTGGAAGCAGGGTCGACTTCCTCACTGCAGCCCCACTCCATTGGAAAACTGCAAGTCCACTGTTGGAGGTTGTGAGGTCAGTAGTCCACTTTCCATTGGACCAGCCTTGGGAGCAGGGTCCTCACTGTTCCCACATAAGGTAACTGGGATCTCACAGCCACTGAACATGCAGTTCTCTGGTGGACATGGCTTAAGGCCCTTTTACATGCTCTGCGTCTAGTGAGAGGTGGTTGATGAGGAGCATTCTCAGTGGCAATCCAACCTAGCCAAGTGCCAAGCTTTGAAAAACGACATCTTGGACCACACTTGGCTGAGGATTCTGGAAGTTGTTGTCCAAAAAGTAATTGTCCTGCACCCTGGCAAACATGGACCTCCTGGCCTTCTTCCTAGCCTGAAGAGAAGAACCGAGATGGCCCACACTTGGCTGAGGATTCTGGAAGTTGTCCAAAAAGTAATTGTCCTGCACCTTGGCAAACATGGACCTCCTGGCTTTCTTCCTAGGCTGAAGAGAAGCATCAAGATGGATTGCTCTTGTGCCTTTAACAATAACTTGGTAAATAGGAATCAGGAAGTAACTTTTCATGGCATTTTATTTCCTGACTCCCCAGTTTCTGTTGTTATTTTTATGTGCTATCAAGTCACTCTCAACTTACGGTGTTCCCACAAATGAGCAGTCTCCAAAATGTCCTGTCCTCAACTGGCCTGCTCAGCTCTTGTGAACTCAAGCTTGTGGGTTCCTTTAGAGAGTCAGCCAGTCATCTCATATTTCGTCTTCCTCTTTTCCTGCTGCCTTCAGCCTTTCCCAGACTTCGTGTTTGTATCAACTGCATTCTGTAAGCAGGCATTCTGCTGGCTGCATGTTCCTTCCAAGATACAAAAGCTCATCATGCAGTTGTTAAAGATGGGGTCAGGTGAGAGGGCTGCTCAGTTGAAGCTTTGCAGAGTGCCAGACTAGGATTTAAGAGGCCAAATATGTATCAATTCAAATTCCCACTTGACCATGAAGCTCCCTGGATGATTTTGGACAAGTCACACTGTCCCAGCCTAACCATCTTACAGCACACCATATAGGATGATGACAATATGAACTCTAAACACAGAATATAAAGAAAACAAATTAAAGGCTTATCTATTAATACATAAATCCCATTTAATTTACAGAAGTTTACTTCCAGGAAAGTGAGCATAGGATTGCAACTTTAAAGTGTGATGATCACATGTGAACCACTCCTTTAAACTACAATCCTTTAAACATAGATGCTTCACTCTTCAGTTAGAGTGTGTTGTATTAATTTGCACAGAAGAGCCTTAAGCCAGGTGTGATCTGTTATGGGAATCATGTCATCATCCTCATTATCTTAGAACTGCTAGAGACCCTGTGGGTCAAGGAAGTAGAAATGGGGAATTGAACTCTCAATCTCTGGGTCCACAACCAGATACCTAAACTATTGGGCTATCCAGCAGTTGTTTTTTTTCATTAGTGCAGAGACTGGAATTTGATTACCTTCTTTTGAAATTCAGTTGTTCTGTTTGGTTTTCCGAAAGAAATAGTTTCATTGTCTGTAATTTATTGAAAGTGTTAATTTGAAGTGTTGCCCTTCCTTTCTGCATCACAAGCACTTCAGAGAGCATTTGCTGAAGGAAATCAAATTCCACAAGAAATTGATATCCACAGCTGTCTTGCTCCATCCAGTGGCTGCAGGAGACAATTTAAAATATGAACTTAAGAAAAAGTTTTTATATTGCACCATCCGGAATCCTACATCTGGAAGGGTCACGGTCCATGTTGGCTGGGGGGATTCTAGAAGAAAATAACTTTTCCTAATTCTGCTTCCTAATAAGTACAAATATATTTATGGATTAAAAACATTTGCAAAGGTGTAAAATCTGTTTAATTTAGGATATGTGCTTTGAATAGGCCATTCAAAGTGCCAAACCATACTGCCAAATTAAATACATGTAGAATTAATTATTTGAAAAAGGCACAGTCATTTCATTATAATTCTTTGAAAGATATTTCCAGACTTGTAATATTCATAACAACCATAAACCATAAACTCACTCTCAACAACAAGTGGAAACTGCTAAACACCCATACTTCCCACTCCATTTTTGTCAGTTGCTCTTTTCCTCAGTGCAGCACCAACCTAAGCTTCTAGCCAAGCTCCCTAGAGCCTATGAAAAATAAAAGGGAATTGATGTTTCTGAAAGGTCATAGAATCACCAACTTGTGGAGCTCCAAGCTGAGTTCAGCTGCTCTGCCAAAGCAGAAAAAGCAAAAATAAAAAATAAAAAAAATTAAAAAGTGCATAATAGATTTAAAAATTCCTGGTTTTGGACTACACTCTGCAAGGACCGAGCATTCTGACAATTGGCACACACACACACACACACACAAGCCTTCACTGATATAGGCTAACTGGTTTCTGTGAAACTCTGCAAGGACCGAATATTCTGACAATTGTAACATTTACCCAGAATCTTTAATGTATATAACTGTAGGTTAGACCCCTCTCTTTGAATTGTGCCTGGAGACAGGTCAGCGGTCAGTGGAGCTGCTGTAACAGGGTGTGGGTTGGGTTAGGTGGCCCCTGCGGCCAGCCCCAGTTGGCAATCGGGCAGCCATGTTTCAGTGGAGCTGCTGTAACAGGGTGTGGGTGGGGTTGGGTTAGGTGGCCTCTGTGGCCAGCCCCAGTTAGCAATCAGGCAGCCATGTTCTGGACCTGCTGAAGATTCCGAATACTTTCCAGAGGCAACCCCAGTTTTGGGTGCATTACAATCACTCGTGTCTCACAATTCACATTCTTGCTTTTGAGCTACAATGAGGAAGAGGAACCAAGGACACTCTTTTGATTATATCGCCCACATTTTCATTTCAAAGACCAACTGGAGTCAAGCAGGCCCCAAAACTGGTATTTTGTTAGCATGATGGCTGGGTGCCATTGCAGGTGTATAGATTGTATGCACAAGAAATGGGTAGACCACCCCATTATGAGCTGCCAGAGTGGAGCCTTCCTACCTTTGCTTTGATTCAGACCTTGTCTCTGGAGATGCCCCAAGTCATCATCTTGCCACTCCCCTCGGCTGTCTTGCCTTTTAGCCATCTGTGGGGACCATTCACATTGATGGCTAGGATTATGGCACTCGGCCTGCTCAGAATTACCTCAAGTCACTCAGGCTGCTTCAGGTTGGCTTTTGTTCTCCTGACAGAGGTGGTAGGCAGCTTCAGTTTTGGAGATGTCACCAGCCCATTCCAGGTTTTAGCCTAAACATTAGAGAAGTTAGACAAAAGGCTGAAGCTAGGGGGAGGGGGAAGGGATAAGATTCAGCAGCTTTAATAGCTCCTATAAAGTGTGGATTAAAATACAGAATTGATTCAGAGCACCTCCAAAATTGGAGTCACTGGCTGCCAGTGGTTTATGATTGTCAGGTGCCAGTTCTGAGTTGCTATGTAAAAGATTGCTGTTATTAGAGAGGCTCATGGCACAGTGGTCAAACTGCTGTATTGCAGCCAAGACTGTGCTCACGACCTGGAGTTCAGTCCTAGGTAGCCGGCTCAAGCTGTATTGCAGCCAAGACTGTGCTCACGATCTGGAGTTCAGTCCTAGGTAGCTGGCTCAAGGTAGCCTGCATAATTAACTTGTAAACTGCCCAGAGACTGTTTTAAGATGCATCATTAACTTGTAAACTGCCCAGAGACGGTTTTAAGAGCTATGGGGTGGTATGTAAGCAGCATGCTTTTTTTTTCTTTATTGAACACAGAAAAAATGTAATTCCAAAGCACTGCATTTTTGTGCTATTTCTCTCTCCTACCTTTCTTTAGTTTGCATTTTTGATCTTGCAATTAAAGGTGTTTCCATTTGCCCACACTTCAAAGAACTCCATTTAATGTGACCCCCGGGCTCCATTTACCATTATTTGGCCTGCCCTCTATCCCACAAGCCCAAATGGGGCAGAATTGTCACTAATAAGAAATAGGATTCCCCTGACTTCTCAGTAGGAAATAAGTCTTTTTTCATTTGCTTTGAGTTTCAGTCCCTGCAGTTAGG